TTGGGGTAAGTAGGACTTGGCCCCGGGCCGGGGAACAGCCATAAATTCTTAGTTCCACCCCCCTCCCTAGTGACCCCGCAGTAAAACGTTTTCACTTTCCTGCTCTCAAGTGTGTGCATACTTGAAACTCAAGTGCCGCTGGGGCAAAACCGCAAGGCACTAGAACTCAAGGATCAAGTGCCAGCCGATGCCGCCATCACTCCAAGCGGGGCTTTTTTTTTTTTTTTTCTTGTTTTTTTCCAGCAGGCGGTGCTGGTCCAGGATTGGTCCAGCCTCTGGATTTCGGTTTCTTTCTTTTTTTTTTTTTTTTTTTTTTTTTTTTTTTTTTTTTGGTCCAGGATTGGTACAGCCTGTGGATTGTCGTCTTTTTATTAGGTTTCAAGTGTGCAGGCTGTTCAAGGGTTTCCTCAAGTGTACATACATGGAACCATAAATGGAGTTTCAAGTGTAAATTAATGGCAGTTTCTTGTTTAGGGCGCCCTTGAAACTGAAGTATTTTCTAGTGGTGTCCATCGAGGCCCTTTACCCTCCAAGGCGAGGGCTCGACTTCCGCGCCTCTCGAAATGACCCTCCGAGGCCGAGGTCCCGCTAGCAAAAAGGATAGGATCGAGCTCCTGAATCTGGATGTGTTTTATGCAGCGATGCAGACAAGCAGTTCAATCTCGATTTCCTGCATGTCTCCATAAACTCATCCAGATTCAGGCACTCGATCCGATCCTCTTTGCTAGTGGGAACACGCCCATTGGCTAGAGGCGATTGCTACCGGTAGCTAACACAGAAGAGGATTCGTTATCTCCAAAAGTTGTAGTCTCTTTTTTTTCTTTCTTTCTTTCTTTTTTTTCACTTGTGGAAGTAGGCTAGAGGCGATTGCTAACAAATATTATGTGCCATGTACGATACACTCCCGTTCATAACCATCCCAAGACGTACAGCAATTTTCGTGCAGCACAATGCCCGCCTCCCACTAAAATTCCATTTTAATAAAACTACGAAAAGTTAAAAACTCCAAAACTATAATCTCTCAATCACTGCGCACATTGCAAAAAAAAAAAAAAAAAAAAAAGTTGCAACTCAAAGTGGCAGTTTTCCTAACAACAGGGGCGAGGTCCCACGAGCAAAGGGGATCGGATGGAACACCTGAATCTGGATGCGTTTCAACGACAAATGCAGAAAAGCAGTTCAATCTCGCGTTTGTGCAAGTTTCCTCAAACGCGTCCAGATTCAGGCGTTCAATCCAATCCACTTCGCTAGTGGGACCTCGCCCCAGACGACAAAAAGGGTGAACATAGTCTATCGGGACATATCCGTTAAAATTGGAACGATACAGAGAAAGAGAAGATGAGCAGCATGGCCCCTGCGCAAGAATGACACGCATAATTTTTTTATTTTTTTATTTTTTTTTCGTGAAAACAGACACGCATAAATCGAGAAAGGGTCCACAAACAAAAACAAAAAAAAAAAACGTGATCATAAAAGATCGGGATACTTTTTTTTTTTTTTTTGAAAACAAACTTGTCTTTATTATTTATACAAACAAAAGATCAGGATACATTTTCATTACCTGGGCCGAGGTCCCAACTAGCAAAAAGGATATTATCGAGCTCCTGAATCTGAACGTGTTTTAAGCAGAAATGCAGAAAAGCTGTTCAATCTCGATTTCGTGCACATCTCCATAAACTCGTCCAGATTCAGGCATTCGATCCGAACCTCTTTGCTAGCGGGACCACGCCCCTGCACCTTTTCCTGATCCTCATCCCGATCCTTTTCTTTTTTCTTCCTTTTTCTGAAACCGATCCCGATGCAGACTTTTTCTTTTGTGCTTTTTTCATAAGCAAACCGGGGTCTCCATTCTTGTCTTTTTTTTTCCTTCTTTTTTTTCTTTTTCCATTTTTGTCATCTGCACTCTTGGGCACTGTGGGCCATTTAATAAAAAAAGTCAAAAAAAAGAAAAAGGTGTTTGATTCAAAAGAAAGGAAAGGGAAGGACCACCACCTCCCCTCTGTCCAATTCTCGCATCTTCATTACCTGCATCTTTTTCCTGAAACCATTCCAGGGGCAAGGTCCCACTTGCACGGATTGGGAGATTTCGGCCGTTGATCCAGGCTATCTACGGTCATTATCTCTTAATTCGTGTAAGTGGGACCTAGCCCCAGGTCCCGACCCTGACCTTCCCGATCCTTTTTTTTCTTTCTTTTATTTTTCTTTTCCTCAAGTACCCTTCCCGATCCTTTTTTTTCTTTCTTTTATTTTTCTTTTCCTTCTCTATCCTTTTTCTTTCTTTTCTGAAACTGATCCCCATCGGGCTCCTTTCGCTTCTTTTTTTTTTTTTTTTTTTTTTTAAGAAATTTAAACTTCGATTTCTGAAACTGATCCCCATCGGGCTCCTTTCGCTTTCTTTTCTTTTCTTTTTTTCTTTTTTTGGAAGAAATTTAAACTCTGATTACCAATGAAAGCCATTTTCGTTTTCTCCTAGAAGACAACCGGAGTTTCTTTTTTTTAATTAATTGAGGAGCCAATTGTTTGAGCCTTAAAAAGAGTGCCAACCACTCTGTACGTCTTACGTCTGCTCTCGATCATTCCGATCCTGATCCTCCGCGTAGCATGGTGTCTACGGACCTTGCGCTCTAATAACTCTGATAACTCTAATAAATCTACCTTCTTCCCCCGAATACAATGTACGGTCGTTATAGCTGTATCTAGACTGAAAGATGCGTCAAATACAGCTATAATGACCGTACGTTGTATTCGGGGGAAGAAGGTAGTAACTTTTTTTTTTTTTTTCAATTCTTATTCTTCTTCTTCTTCTTCTTATTATTATTATTTTAATCTAATAACTCTTAATAACTCTAATTCAATTGTGTAGCATCCGATTTTTGCCCTTTTTGTTTTTGGCTTTTGGGTCAGATAGGCCCGGCGGCCAACTAACCCGATCCCACTCCTCTTTTTTTTTTTTTTTTTTTCCCTCCTATAAAACATCTGGAGGTTAATAATTGAGGAGCAAATTGCTTGAGTACTCTGTTAGTATGTACGTCTACGTCTGCTCGCCATCCCAAATTCCCAGCTGATCCTCAGCGTAGCATGTTGTCTACGGACCCTGCGCTCTAATTCCAGGTCGATTGTGTAGCATACGTTTTTTTTTCTTTTTCCCCTTTTGGGTCAGATAGGCCCCGAGGCGGCCAGCTGATCGAAACAGGTTCTTGTGGAGGCCCGCCTCTCAGATACGGGAGAGATGTGAGACACCACTTACACACGAGTCATCATTTCACAAAACCAAGAAGTAACCCAAAAAGAAAAGAAAAAGAAAATCAAAGAAACGAAAAGAACGAAGGACCTGCACACGAATATCAGTATGTCAAGACGGTCAAGGGAATTCACAAAAGGAAGAAACAAAAGAAAACGAGGCAAGGGAGTTCAGTGTTCACACAACGGGAAATACACACACACACACACACACACACACAAAAAAAAAAA